GTGTTGCAAGATTAAACACCAAGAAGTACTCTCAGAAGCCTCCCACAGTGCAAGGATGCTAACAGGGAGTATCTAAATCTATTCAGACACCTCTCTCTTTGGGCAAAGGGAGCAGCAGAGGGCAGGTAGGCCTGAATTCCAACCCATGTGGACTTTGTGAGAGGGCACAGCATACAAGCCTCTCATCCAATTACATGGTGACCAGAGCACTATTTAGGAATTACTACAAGTTCAAAGAGAAAGGGTCTACACAAGCACCTGCCTTGCCTGATGCTGTTGTCAGCACACCAAACTCCAAGAGGAAGCACACTACCCCATAATGGGGTCAGTACACATACTTGATGCATAGTAAATGGTTTCAGCAATGCCATGTTCTGGAAACGAATTAACATGTCTCATTGACCATAATTCAATTATTTGCCTCCTTCTTTTCCTTCTGCTGGACCGTTGCTAGTTTCCCAGCATCTACATTGCTGAATTTAAGTATGAATTTGTATTGAGTTCCTCGCATATGTTCTCTAGCAATGCTGGGCAATCAGCTCTACCACTGAGATATACCCCCAACCCCTGTTTTCAACTGTTTGGGGGACAGAAAGCACAGCAGCCAATCGGCATTTACCAGCGTCTGGTGAAGCCTTCTGTTATGTTTAATTTCGCCATTCTTTTCTCAGCAGGGATTGGGCTCTGAAGCTGGAAGCCTCAGGATTTGGGCTTTCTGTGTGCAGAGTGCTGGGAACAAGGTGGGGAAGATGACTACACCTTTGCTAGCACCCTCAACAGCAGCTGAGTGCTCCCATTTATAATGCCATTAGCCAAGAGCGGTGACCAGATGCAGAAGCAGGTGAATTTCTGTGAGTTCAAGGCCAGACAGGGCTACTTACTGAGACCCTGGCTCCAAAGAAATTTCCTCTTCCTCCTTCCCTCCATTTCTCCCTTTCTTCTTTCTTCTCCTTTCTTTCCTCCCTTTCTCCTCTCCTTCCTCCCTCCCTCCCTCCCTTCCTTCCTTCTTTCCTTGTCTTCTCCATCAAATTATTCTACCATATTAATCAAACAATATTTCATTTTGTTTCAATAGCCTTCTAGAAACTATGTCAAGTTTTAAAGGAAATTCTGAAACATAAAACAAAGTTACCGACACTAATTTCGGAATAAAATACCGCAGTTTCTGTTTTCCTATGGTTATGTAATCCAGTCAATACAGACTGTGTAGAAAAGATGAAAACATCCCACTGATCCTTGTACAAGAGAGGTACTGAATGAGCAGTAGAAATGCTCTCACACACAAAACCAAGTCCAAGATCTGCTCAGGTGAAGCCATTGTGGAAAATCTAATATCTGTGGAAAGGTTTGGGAAAAAAAATCTCTTATTCTTTTTTTTTAATACTATGCATATGAGGGGAGTGCACATGTTCGTGCAGTGTCTGCAGAGTCCAGAAGAGGGCATCATTTCCCCTGGAGCTACAGTTAGTGGTGCTTGTGAGCTGCCCAACATGGTGCTTCAAGAATGCTGACCACCACAGTGGGACCAGTGGTGGCAAAGTGTCCCCAGCCAGAATGACAATGCAGAGAAATGACAGTGCAGGTCAAGAGGTGACATGTTTTCAGAGACTCTTGGGAGGGAGGAGCAGGGACAGAAGACCTGTAGAGGGCGTCTTCCACAGGGTCTGGGATAACAGGCTCGAACCCTTTGGGCCGAGAAGGCATACTTGCCTGGGGTCCTCCTAGGTTTCAAGCAGGCAGAGCAGGACAGCTGCCATCTGCTGTCGGTGCCCATGCCAAGACAGACTTCATGGAGCTTCATGCAAGCTCTTCCCCCTCTTTCCCGCGTCTGGAGCTCCCTTGAGCTGTGCATGTAGTGACAGATAGGGCCCTCAGGTACAAGGTCCTTTCCAGTCTCTGCCAGGAATCAGAGACTTCAGGAGGGTGCGACAGGGGCCACAGAGTTGAAGGAACAACCTGTGTGAGTGCCCTTGAGAAAAAGCTGCCAGCTCCCAAGTGTGCTCCTCATGAGGCCACCTCAAGGCATCAGAGACATCAGCCAGATCCAAAGAGGCTGGGTGTGTCCCACTGACCAGAGAAGCAGAGACAACCAGCCAGTTACCAGCAGGGGTGCTTTCCAGTGCAGGGGACTGCAGAGCAGGAGAGGGAATAAATCCTGATGGTGACAAGGGCCAGCCCCTCCTGTCACCCTCAAAGTTCCCTCCTCCAAGAACAAGACTGAGGCCCTCTTTGAAGTCTGGAGTTGGCGAGAGCTCTGTGTCCCCTCTACGGATCTCCAGCCATCCAAGGTCCTCGGGAACACCCAATAGTGCCTGTTTATTTATTTCCTCATTTCTTTGGTATAGTCTCAGACAGGTGCCTGGTACACGTGTGAAGGTTGGAGGACAGTCCTCAGGAGCCGGTTTTCCCTGCCACCGTGTGAGATCTGAGGATTAAACATCAGTCATCAGGTCAGCTCCCAAGCACTTCTACCTAATGGAGCATCCCACCAGGGTGATGTTTGAGAAAAAATGAGTAGGTTCTCTTTGGCAAAGCTCTTCCCATCACCATGGCTTCCATCAGCCAGAGGTCCAGCCAGGCAAGAGGCATGCTAAATGCCAGCCATGGCAGGCAGAGACACCAGCCTCTCTATTCAGGAAAGTTCTCATCTCAAAGCGCACAACAGACCGTGTTATTACTCTGTATTTATTTGGGGATTAGTGCACAGCCTTTGGAAGCATGAAGGTTCCTGTGCTCTCCATCTGTATGGCTCTGTGTAGTTACTGTCTCCACTGTGTAAACAGAAAGTGCATACTTAGAACAGCCGCATTAAGTGTCAGTGTTTACTCGGGTGACATGAGGCCAACAAAGTCCAAGCTGAGCTGACAAAGAGGCCAGGGGACAACCATGTGCCACTACCTCAGGGGCAGTGCTGGGGCTCCCATCTCAAGCTCCAGTCATGCTCAGGAGTCTCTGGAGAAAGTCACAGTGGAGTGCAGCTCATCAAGAGGGTACCAGAAGCCTTCAAGTCTGAGAGGCCTGTGAGCTCTACTGAGCATGTTCAGATCCTCCCCAATAGAGAGGGAAGTGGTGCAGGTGGGGCAGCTTGAAGCCATCCAGTCAATCCCCAGACCACCGTGTATGATTCACAAGGTGTGAAGGGCTGCTGTTTCCAAGAACATAGAACCTAGGAGTGCCCCTCAGTAGGACATGGAAGGTTTGCTGGCTTCATGTGTCTTTCAATTAAGTGGCAAAGCTCCCTCTGTCAGAGAGGGCAGCCATCCCCACTCTAAGAGATAAAAGGCCCACCCAGATCTGCTGGAATCAAGCATTTACTACCCTCCTCATGAGCTCCTGCCCCCCACCCCCCAGGATCACCTCCATCTCCCTCATTAGCCCTGATCATCTCCTGTGGCTTTATTTAGAGAGATCAAAGCTATATTCTGATCCTCAAGTTTCAACCAGTCTCCAGAACCCAGTACCAGCCATCCACTCAGCTTAACGGCCAAGGTCTTCTACTTCCCAGATAGGCTCCATGGGATGAGAGCTATTCAGGCCCCACCAAGTGATGGAATAGCTACCCAAGTAGCTATTGGGGGCCAGAAAGCTCTGAGGGACCCCTCTCCACCCAACCTGTATCAGAAGAACCCTGGGAGAAGAGTCCATGTTGGCTGCAGAGCCTGAGGCAAAGGAGACTGGCAAGGGCCAGGAAGAGAGACGCTTCCTGAAAATGAAAGACTTGGCTAATGCTCCGGGAGCAGGAGGGTGGGAGGAATGACAGGTACAGACCAGGAATGTCCTGATGTCCTCTGAGCATGACATGGCATTCCAACCCAGCAGTTGTGATTGCCCACAGACCTATACAAGGTTGGGCCTGTTGAGAGGTAGTCAATTGCTTCTGAGAGAGCGAGAGACATTTTCTTCAATGGTGTCACCACTCATAAGATATGCTACTGTAAATAATCCTAATTAAATCCATTGGTTCACAGTTTCTGTTCCCTTTCTCATACTATGATAAAACACTCTAGCCCAGAGCAACATAGGAGCAAAGAGGGTTCATTTGGCCTATGATGGTCATAGTCTACCATTGAAGGGATAGGAGCAGGAACTTGAAACAGAAACTGTGAAAGGATGCTGCTTTCTGGCTTTCTTATAGGCTCATGCTCTGCAAGATTTCAAGTCCAGGACCATCTGCCTAAGAGCTGGTACTGCCCATAGTGGTCTGGACTTCCCCACATCTAGTAATAATCAAGATAAGCCCCCTCAAAAACAATAAGCATCTTTACTTTGATCTGTTGTTGATGCTCTGTCTGGGGTGAAATGATTGTTTGCTCATCTTCCAGGGGAGGTTCACATGACACTATCTCAGGGGTATGGCCAGGGTTTGGCAAATGACGGAAGATCTAAGTATCGCTGACCTCTTGGAATGCCTGGAGCAAGGATCCAAATCAGCAGAAGCTGGGTGCAAGGGGGTTAACTTCATCCGGCCCACTTTCTACACTTCACCTCCAAGAAGCAGGTGCTGTTATACTATCATCAGAGATGGCAAAAGGGACCCTAGGACCCCATGCAACTGGTCATATGTCTGTCCTCATGGAAGCCACACACCATGTCAAATAGCCCTTGTTGCCTCTATACAATCCCCTCCCTCCGTCAGATTTCAGGGAAACAAACCAATAAAAGCTGTCAACAACAGAAGTGCACAACAATCCATCTCCCCAAGAAGAATAATTAATCGATGCCACATGGGAAGCACCAAGAGTTTTGAATAAATGTGGAGACACAGTTACAAGAGCAAAATATTATCATTTGTCCAACATAATTATTTTCTTGGAAACCGTCGATGATTAATACAGCACATTATAAATACTCTCGTGTGCATCGAGTTTCATCTCTCCAGTCTAATTAACATGCTGGAGAATTGCTCTTTTGGTGGGGAAAGACATTTAAAATATATATTTCATGAAATCTGAGTTATTTGTCATAAGCTCCAAGAGGAAAAAATAAAATATGAGGAATGCTGCAGTTATTTAAATACTTTATAATATGACAGTTTTCAAATAATTTCATTCTTAAAGCTCTACAGAGAGGCCAGGATGGTGGGGTGTGGACCCTGCAGTCCCTATGCCATGGTGCCCACTCTTCTCTTAGATCACTCTTGAGATCCAACTGTGCCGTCCAGGCGCTCGCCCCAAGCTGGCCCAGGCTGCAGTGTGGTGTGGTGCCCTGTGTTCAGTACAGGGTGTGGTCAGCTCTGTAAGTGTGAGAGGGTACACAGAGCATTGTATTTGCAGTGTCTTCGTGGAAAGAAAGACTGTGAAATCAGTGTCCTCACTGACCCTTCAGAGGGACACCCAGGGGTAGTCATGCTGATGACCAAGAGAGGAAGAAAGATTGAAGTTTGATGTCAAGGAAACACTGGAACTTTCAGAGTCCACCATGGGCCTGGGTGCTGGGGAGCCACTGTGCCTCTGTCCTGGAGAGCAGCTCCAGTTTGAATGTGAAATGTTTGCCATGCGTAGGTATTTGAACACTTGGTCCCCACCTGGTGACACTGTTTGGGAAGGTTGCTGAACCCTTAGGAGGTGAAGCCTCCTGGAGAGCAGCTCCAGTTTGAATGTGAAATGTTTGCCATGCGTAGGTATTTGAACACTTGGTCCCCACCTGGTGACACTGTTTGGGAAGGTTGCTGAACCCTTAGGAGGTGAAGCCTCATTGAAGGAAATGGGTATAGGCCTTGAGATTATATAGTCGGGCCACATCCTCAAAAAGAACAGTTCCCCTTCCTCAGCAACGATCTGCTACCAACAGCTCTTTAGTAAGGGGTGGGTATGCCAGGGTTTTGGGCCAGCTAGCACTTGTGTAGGTCTTGTTCAGGTAACCATAGCTGCTGTGAGTCCAGGATCTCTGAAATTATCCCACACCCATAACATCCAGAAGACAGTGTTTTACAGCACTCCTCCCCATCCTTTGTCTTTATTACATTCTTTCCACTTCCTCTTCTGCCATGTTCCCTGAGTTTGGGCGGTGAGTGGGGCTGAGTGAGTCAGGGCTGAGCACACAAGTCTCTTTTTCTCAGCGTTTTGATTAGTCCTGCATCTCTCAGGACTGCCCACTGCAAACAGGAGCTTCTCTGGCCAAGACTGTGAGCAGCAGAGGCCTGTGGGTATAAGTATAAATATTTAGGAAGCAATCTGCTAGCATGGCCATTTAGCTTTGCTAAATAGCAATAGCCGGTTCAACCCTAGGGCCTGTGATCTCCCTAGCTGTGGGCTTTTAGCCAGGATTGCAGAATCAGGCATGAAATTTCCTCTTCTAGACAGATCTTAAATCCAGTCAGAAAGAAGTTGATTACCTCACAACAACCATGCCACTATTGCTCCAGCAGGCATGTCTTGCCTGGTGAGTACACATTACAGCATGCAGAGAACCTGCAGGCACTATAAAACCTGCCTCACTCTCCTGACACCATGTCTTCCCCTCTGTGATGGACTTTACCTCTGACATGTGAGTGCAGGTTGTTTACCACTGCCTACAGCTGGCCTGGAAGCTTCTGGGGGATGTCTTTTCCGGTCCTCATGCTTCTTCCATGGTGAGTACTCTGCCCCCTGGGCCATCTCTCCACCCGCAGCTTTATTTTGCTTTAACATGTGCATGCTTGTGTTTAACTGGTATCTACAAGGGGCAGTGTTTCTGTTGCTTTATTTTTCTGGAAAGAGGGTACAATAGAACAATGGGGAAAGAATGTATCCACTTTCACACACTTGAATGTTGTCTGGATTTCTGACACAAAATTGTTTCATTTTTATAGTCTCTTTAAAAGTGGCACACACCTTTAATCCCAGCATTCAGGAGGCAGAGGCAGTATATTTCTGTGAGTTGGTGAATCTGAGGTCAGCCTGTTCTAGAGTTCCAGGGCAGACAGGGCTATACAGAGAGGAAACCTGTCTTGGAAAAAAAACAAAAAAGCAAAAAACAAAATAACAAAAGTCATTTTAAAACATGCCATCATGTGGCCACAACAAAACAATTTTGTGACATTGCTCAAAGTAAATTCACAACCAAAATGAAGTAAGGGAGGTATCCTCTCCAGGAACCAGGAGCATCCCAGCTCTGCTGGGGTGGCTAGCCACATCTTAAGCCACCAACTCTGAGCTTGGCCAGGCATGGTGATACCCAATTTTAATCCCAGCCACTCAGGAGGTAGAGACAGGTGGGTCACTGTAAGTTTGAGGCTAGTCTAGTCTACATAGTAAGTTCCAGGACAGCCAGAGCTACATAATGAGATCCTGTCTCAAAAAAGGGGGGGGACAAATATGGAAGAGGAGGCAGTTACCATTCAGTCTCAAGGGGCCTCAGGACAGAGGCAGTTGCTGGAAATAGGCCTCAGAGCTAAACCTAGATCTTCACAAATAGAAGAGAAATGCAAGCATACTTCCGCTGACCGGTGATCAAGGGCCCACATGGGCACTCCTAGAGCCATCTCATTCATGGGACAGCTGCAGCCTTGGATGCTGAGAACACAGGCAGTGTGAAAATTAATCTCCCTTACATCCAGTAAAGGAAACAACACAGGGAACAGACTGGACTCGGAGAAAAATACAGAAATTACAGTGTGGGGAGTGAAGCTAAAGAGCTGGGCTATAGTTCCGCAGTATAACACTTGCCTGGCATACAAAGGCCCTGTGATTGATGCTCACCTCCATAAAACAATCAATACATAAGAAATCAATAACACAAAAAATGCACATCAATGACAACTGCCGCAACAGACAAATTACTTGAAAATATGTAATGTTCACACACCGTGTGTCAGAGATGCATGGCTTGGAAGATGACTCAGATAGGCAAGCTTGAAGACCTGAGATAAAATCCCAAGCCCTAGTGTAAAAAGCTGGATATGGCCATGCTGCCTGTGACCGCAATGTTTTGAGGGGCAGAAGCAGGAGAATTTCTGTGACTTTATGGATGACAGCCTAGCTCCAGGTCCAATGAGAGACTCTGTCTCAACGGAATAAGGTGGAGAGTGATGGATCAGGACATCTGATTCCTCCTGTAACATCTGCATGAGCAGAAGTTCACAGTGTGTGCCCATAACTACACACATACACCACAAGCACAATAAATAAGTAACCTTAACTCAGCTTTGCAGACAAAGAGCAGAAGCTGCGGGACAAAGAGAAGGAAAGAAGATCTGAGCAATGATGGGCACAGTGTCTTTCTAGGAGATAGATGGAGGTGGCCACGGTGAGTGTGCTTGATGCCGCTGACTGCGGAAATGGCCAAGGTGGGAATCTGCAGGCAGGCTAAGCCACTGCAAGACCTCCATGAGCCAGACCTGGTGAGATGTGAAAGATGCTGAGCCTTGGTGATGCAGCCTAGCTCACCCAGCATGTGCTGGGTTGAGCATCAAGGCATCCTGCATCTCAGGATTGGGAAAATGGGCGGAGTTTGTGCAGGTTCATTATCTTTCCATATCAGATGGATTGTGCTTGTTGAGCTTCTCTTCAAAAATCTTAAACAAAACAGGGGCCCTTTTTTCACAAGTTCGGTCTGTAAGTTGAGAGGGGAAATTACAAATATAAGGATTGCAAAGGAAGGAAAAAGTGATCATTTACAGATTATTCAAGGACCTGAATTGCTTAAAAATTGCCAGAGTTAGCAAGTTTCCTTATTTTAGTTTTTTAAAAAGCAATTAATTCTGGCCAAGGAGATTTCTCTTCTTATATCCCAGTAGCAAAAAATGCAAGCTTTATAACAAGTAACCTCCAGGATTTTAAGACAAACTGCATGGGATAGTAAATACAACAAAAGTTACACGTGTCATGGACAGAGGTAGATCACCTAGCAGATCATTTGCCAAGCATGTTCTCCTAACAAGCTGTCAGCCTGACCCAGCATTGCATAAACCAGGCATGCTTGTTGTTGTAATTTTAAAATGCAGCGTGAGAGAAAAAGACACCATGTGACAGAGCTTGGGTGGAGGGGTTTTTATTGGGGGAAGGTGAATGGGAATAGGGGGAAGGGAAGAGGGGAGACCAGTGTCTGGGGACAGAAACAGCAGAAGAGAAAAGAGAGGCAGAGAGAAAGAGGCAGAGGGAAAGAGATGAGAGACGGGCAGAGAAGCAGAGAGAGATAGAGAGGGACGGGAGGTGGGTACTTTAAAAAGGGTACATAGTGAACAGGCACAGATGGTGCTCTCAGTGACTGCAGCTGAGGGCGTATCCTGTCAGAACCCCCAAGACCAGGCCAGTACAGATACCTGAATGCTACACCTGTAATCCCAGATCCTGGGAGGTAGAGACAAGGAGGATCAGGAATTCAAGGTCATCTTTGGTCATATGGCAAGTTGACAACATCCTTGGTGACACAAAACCCTGTCTAAAAATAAAAAGTAAAGATGTGTGTGTGGCAGAAGACCCGCCCACACAGGAAAGACATCAGCCCTTCCAGGCCCCAACCTCCGGCCACCCCAGGTTCAGCTTAAGCTTCAGTGTCAGCATCCCCAGCTTCAGCTTCAGGAAGGAAGGAGACCAGTGGAGATGGAAAGACCCCACCAGCACCCACTGGAAGAAGAGATGGGAAGAAGACAGAATAAGAGCTCACTCAGCAATAGAAAGACCAACATGACGGCGTCAGAATCTAGGGAACCAACAACCAGCAAGACCCGAAAAGCACTACATAGACGAAGCAGAGGAGACAGACCTTAAAAATTATTTGATGAAGATGATAGAGACCCTCAAAGAAGAAACAAGGAAATCCCTTAAAGAAATAGAAGAAAAAACAAACAAAAAATCCATGAAATGGGGGAAAAAATTCAAGAAATAAACAAATCTCTCAAAGAATCTAAAGAACACCAAGAAAAAACAACCAAACAAATGAAGGAAACAACTCAAACAGTTGAAGGATTGAAAGCTGAAACAGAAACAATAAAGAAAACACAGAACAAGGGGATGCTGGAAATAGAAATGCTGGGTAAACGATCAGGAACTACAGATGCAAGTATCACCAATAGAATACAAAAGATAGAAGAGAGAATTTCAGGTGTTGAAGACTCATTAGAGGACATACAATCATCAACCAAAGAAAATCTCAAAACCAACAAATCCTTAACACAAAATATCCAGGAAATATGGGACACCGTGAAGAAGCCAAACATGGAAATAATAGGTATAGAAGAAGGAGAAGAAATACAGCTCAAAGGTACAGAAAACATATTCAACAAAATCATAGAAGAAAACTTCCCTAACCTAAAGAAAGATATGCCTATGAAAATACAAGAATCTTACAGAACCCCAAATAGGCTGGACCAGAAAAAGAAGTCACCTTGCCATATAATAAACAAAACATCAAACCTACAGAGTAAAGAGAAAATATTAAGAGCAGCTAAAGAAAAAGGCCAAGTAACATGCAAAGGCAGACCTATCCGAATTTCACCTGACTTCTCAATGGAAACTATGAAAGCCAGAAGATCCTGGATAGATGTCCTACAAACGCTAATGGAACAAGGATGCCAGTCAAGACTACTATATCCAACAAAGCTTTCAATTACCATAGATGGAGAAAACAAAATATTCCATGGCAAAGCCAGATTTAAACAATACGTATCCATGAATCCAGCTCTAGAGAAAGTGCTAGAAGGAAAACCTAGATCCAAGGAAGATAACTACACTCACAAAGACACAGGCAATATATAATCCCACTTTACAAAACACCAAAAGAAAAAGGGAGGAGAAACTACACAAAATAACTTCACTAACAATAAATCAAGCACAAACAAGAAATCAATGGTCATTAATATCCCTCAATGTCAACGGCCTCAACTTGCCTATAAAAAGACACAGACTAGCAGAATGGATACGAAGACAGAACCCTTCCTTCTGCTGCATACAAGAAACACATCTCAACATCAAAGACAGACGTTATCTCAGAGTAAAGGGTTGGGAAAGGATCTTCCAATCAAACGGTCCCAAGAAACAAGTGGGTGTAGCAATCTTAATATCTAACAAACTAGACTTCAAATTAAAATCAATCAAAAGAGATGAAGAAGAACACTTCATATTCATCAAAGGAAAAATACATCAAGATGAAGTCTCAATTTTAAACATCTACGCCCCAAACACAAAGGCACCTACATTCGTGAAAGAAACATTACTAAAG